TTTGCCGATGATATCGTTATAATATCTGATAGAGTTGATAAAGCAACAAAAATGTTGGAAACGCTCTGTAAATGATAATAATAATAATCAAGTTGATGATGACTCTTTTAATTCTAAATTTTTAGTATGGTTACCAAATCCAATATTACATAATATACTCTCCTACTATTTATTACTTTTCCTCAGATTTTATTGCATCGTTTACTTACTTTCTCAAGCTACGTCCCTATCTACAATCAACAATATTTTTGTACGACTTAATGTTTTTCTAATTACTTAAGTTGTTTACGAACAACACGTTTATTATTAATAATTGTAATGTAATAATAATATTGATTTGAGTCATTAAACTAGGTCAAGTTATCATTCTTTGTTTAATTTGAAATGTATACGTTATCTATGTCGAATTATTTGTTCATTATTCAATTAGGGATATATAATAATTATTTAAATAATTATTCCTCTTCTCTAGATAATAATTATTACTCTTACTGACGGTTGGCTATAACTACATCAAATTGCTCTCTATCTTGAGCTGTTCTTAGTATCAAACGTGTGTCCATGCCTGTCCAGTCTCTTACATTCTTCAACCAGGAGCATTTTCTTCTTCCTGGACCTCTTCTTCCTTCCACTTTCCCTTCCACTATAACTCGTAGGAAGTTGTCTTTTTCTCCTCTGTAAATATGTCCTAGATAACTCGTTTTTCTGTTTTTTAAAATATTTAGGAATTCTCTCTCTGTATCCATTCTTCTTAGCACCTCGTTGTTAGTCACGTGCTCTATCCAAGAGATCTTCAGCATCCTTCGAAAAACTCACATTTCAAAGGCTTCGATTCGCCTCATACTTGTAATTCCGAGAGTCCATGTTTCCACTCCGTATAGCAATATGGAACAAATAAACGTTTTTACAAATTGGTATCGGATATCCAACGATAGCGTAGAGTTTATTAGGAATTTTTTCATTCGTTGAAATGCGGACCTTGTAGCGTTTTATAGTTAATATAGTTTCTGTTTAAATTTTTGTAATACGCCCCTGGTTTATTATACTAAGAGATTCTTAAATGCGTAATAGCGCTGGAAATATTTTTTTGTCTCTGTTACATTGTCAGGTTAAAATTAGGGTAGCTAGAATAATAAATAACTACGTGTTATTTTTACCCAATTTAAAAGTAAATATACATGAGTCCCCTAATATTCCGGTTGAAAAAAAAAAGTTGTTTTGTTCGTTTCGAGTTTGTTACGAACGAATATCAAGGGGGATATTGTTTGTTTTAAGTTGGTAGGCAAAACAAGCTTCAAGGGGAGAAAGGGAAATTATTTGTGGCGTCGAATTGTTAGAATGTAACGCAGATAAGAGTCGGATAAAAGATTAAAGTCGATTTAATTATTTTTTTTGTGATGTCTTAAGACCAGTCAAAGTGATGATACTCTTTTCAATAGCAGTTTTGACAGAGTAGTCATTATAAGATTTGTATAGATACCGGAAATTTTTAAAAAGTATTGTATAGGATGTCCCCGTCGTCTGTTTTGTTACTCCACCAAACCTAATTTGATCGTCGTTTCTGAGTATGGAAATGGTTTCCTGTTTTCCAGTTTGAGAATTTTTTCAAGTAGCTTCCCCAGAGATGTAACAAATTTTTTTATTTTTAAAAGTTAAGTGGCGAAATATGTAAAAAATAAGGTAACAATTAATATATTAATTTTTCCAAGTAAAATAGACATTTTGAATAATTGCTTTCATTAAAATAAAAGAATTTGTAATCATTAAAGTTTTATATTATGTTATGAATCGTGGCTAAAAAAAATGTCATATTTTATTCTGATTTAAAATTGACATATGACATTTTCTCTAATCCATTGTTGTTGTAAAACAATTTCAATTTAATTATTATATATAAAAGATATTTCATATATAAGGTTAAATTCTACGGTATTTAACCATTTCAAAAAAAATTTGTAGCAATCTATTTTGTAAATGAATAACACGTAAGTTTTGGTTAATTTGTATTATGTTATAAATATAGTATGTTTCTTGTGTAACTGTATTTTTGGTAATTGTTTGTTTGAGACAAAAATAAACGTTTGATTTGTTTCTCTGATCCATTTTGTGTTTTAATTTTGAAAAGTCTATTAATCCTTGTATGTATTTTTGATTGTAGGGAAGAAGAATTTTTCTTTCTCCCAGCAGGAAGTTTTCTTTAAAGCGGCGTCCAAATATAATTAGCTAGAGGTAAATTTGTCTGCCATATCTTGTTCGTTTTTGGCCCAGGAGATTTATGTAAGTATCCCTTTATTTTCATTTAGTAGATACCCCAATCCAACTCAAATTTATTTCAACTTATCCACGACGCAGCTCTCCAACAAACCTCTTAGTGCCGTACGCACTAGTTCCGATTATTTTATTTGCCCAATCTTCTCCCCCATGTTCTTACCCTGAGGTAAGCAAAATAGTTCGTTACAACCTATACCCTGTTTTTTAACCAGGAGGAGTACACCAAAAAGACAGATTCACACCCAAGAAAGTTACTAGAAAAATCACCAAATACATCTTCTTTTTTTATTGTATATCTCGGCTTTGCGGTAATCGAGTAATCAATATCGGACAACCTTACACGTCAATTCTAACCTAACTTTATGTTTTAATATATTTTTTAATTCACTTCCAATATATATTACAATTATTACATTAAAAAATTACGTTTTTCACATTTGGTCTCATGTATATATATTTAAATATCGGGTGATCCAGTTTTATAGATCTTTAGAGTCGATGGTACTTAATTTAGAGAATATTTTGATCCAGAGAGTCAATAATGTTACAGATCTAAGTACGGTTTTTCACAGAAAGTTGTCTTTTAATTTGCAAATAGATCTTATATGCAACAAAGCTATGCAAATGCATGTATCAAAAAGTTAGAGAGAGTTCAAAGATTTCCGAAATACTGTTCTTTTAAATTGCGTAGACCATATTCTTATTCTGGTGTGATTAATCTTGAATCTAGGTTTTTTTTGCTTACCAGAAGAATTAACTTTGACTTTGGTCATTATTTTTAAGCTTAATAATCCAATCTCCTGAATTGCTGCAGCCAGTTTGTTTTACATATTACTTCCCATTCACTGCTTTAGAATTAACTTTTTCATGTTTCATATCACAGAATAAATTATGGTTCAAATATAGGTGTAGTCCTAGTTTTCATTTCATGCATGGTAATCAGTTACCTCATTATATAGATTTAACTTATGTATCAATATCTTAAGGATCTATTTGAAGCACTAAAATGCAAAACAATAAATTTGTATAAACAAGTGTGTACTTGCAATTTCTTTAATACTGGATTCTTGTTTAATTTTGACAGTGAGTTTGTCTCATTTGTTATCAATAAAATTTACTAAAAAATACTGGATTTCTGTGACATAATCAACTAATTCAATCTATTATGTTACATTCTAGTATAATTTTGTAGTTTTCTTGTGATGATCTACAACAGGAAGAACAAAACCAACTGTATCAATACAATCAAAGTAAAACACAACATTACTAATGTTCTTTTATTGTGATGAAAACAAAATGAAAATGCTTCTTAACAAGTATACACAAATTTAAAAGATAGTTGCCGTTTTTCTTATGATAATTAGATATAAATATCATACATTTATAAATTTATAAACACTGTAAACTCTATTTATTATATATATCAGCTAGAAAAATATCACATTAAATACTATTATCGCATATCACCAAGTCCAAATGAACAACTACACCATTTTGAATTTCTTGATTTATTTTTTCAGCAAAAACTGAATCTATTTCAGATATTTGAGCAAGAAAGTTTTGTTTTTGGTCAGCAGCCCAATGTATAAACTATTCTTTGAATAATTTCCCCTAAAAAATAACTATGGTAAGACATTCATAATATACACAATAAATCAATCATCCTATAAAGTAAGATAAACAACCTATAGTTATTAATTACTATTTATAACTGGGAATAAGCCACAATTAAAGATAAAAATACGTTTATTGACGTTTCAATTTCCAATTCGGAAATCGTTCTCAAAATACAAACAGTAAATTAAACAAAATTTGTTTAATTTACTGTTTGTATTTCTTGTTCGCTGTTATTTTTATTCCAGAATTATCAATTTTCATGTTTGTACATGTTTATAGTACATTATTTCTCATTTGATGATAAATGATCCAAATCTACTCGGCGTTTTTAAGGTGGAGAAGAATAATTACCACTAGTACTTGGCATTGAATCCATATTGTTATCTTAATAACACTAATATGTCGCTAAATAGTTCTGAAAAGAACTGTTTTTTATATAAATGCAAACGAAAAATCTAAAGATGTAAGAAATAACACAGAAAATACAGAAAATTGTCGATATAAATTTTCAATTTTAAAATTTCACAAATGTCATTAGTGTCAATATGTCATAATTTAGTGGAGTAAACTTGCCTGCGCTTCGACCAATTACAAACAAGCATTATGGCGCGGAAAATTTAAATTACTCCTCCTGGTTTAAAAACAGACCATAGTATATTCTATACGAGCACGTATTTAGACCTCGTGGTCAAGTTCGCTTGTTATCCAGCAACCAGGATACTGGAATCTTTGTACTGGTTCTATATTGCCGCTTGAATGTAAGAAATAGGTAACTAGAAATTTGGCTGTTTTGAGTTAGCTACTTCTTTAATAATTCCGTTTCGAGTAGAATTGAATGCATAAACCAGGTAACTTGTAAAATGATTCAGACGACATCTATTGAAATTTGTAAAAAGTAGCTAGAGTTGTTAATGAAGATTTCTTTAATGTAAAAATTAGATAACTGAAGATACCTACTTTTTACTGGAAAAGTTGCGGGATACATTTTTAAACAAAAACTAGGTAACTGAAAATACCTACTTTTAACAGGCTAATACATGTCTCAGTTCGATTGTTTGTGTCTTGAGATACGCACGTGTTTAAACAAAAATTGTAGTTATTTTAAAATAAAGATGTCTAGAGGTCTGAAAATGGTCGGAATGTGTAACTTAACAACTGGAGGTAAGATTGTGTTTATTTTTGAAACTTAAATTTAGTTAAATAGAATTTTATATAAGCATGTAAAATTTAAGGTTATAATTTGTATAATCCTATTATTTGTTTATTCAGATATAGCACCAGGAGCTAATTATCTGTCTCCTAACCAGGAAAAATGTCCACAGCATATTTTATATATGGGTAATACATTGGAAAAGCCCATTAGTCATCAAGAAGAAATTACTGAATGCTTTGAAACGAATGTAAATCTTGAATCAAATAAGATTGTTTCTCATGAATTGTCACCTAAAACTAATGTGAGCCTTGATCGGAATAATTCTGTTGCCCATAAATTGCCATCAGCTAACGAAGAAGTGAACTTAGGTATGTACGATGAAAAAAATAAACCTTTGTTTAAAAAGAAACAGCCGTTATCGTTAGTAAATATTTCATAGCAAATAGTTTGACTAAAGAAACGAAAAGAATATTTTAACGCATCTCAAGTCGGACTAGATATAAAATTTCTTGCGTTTAATTATTTTTATTAATCTATTAAATAATGATTTATGTTACTAACAAGTTGTTTTGTAACACACCAAGGGTAAAATTAGATTTATTTTTTAATATAACTAATTGCACATCAGTTCTAAGAGTATGTAAATAGTTGTTTTTTTACTTATTTTTGGGTATGGTTAATACTTGGATAACAAAAAAAAAAACCAAATATTTATACCTACTTTTTTAATTCCGTTTAAAACGCATATGGACAGTGACATTTATATTATTTCATATAATTTTTTTATTTTTTAGATCATCAAAATATTTATCAGATCGAGAACCCAATAGCCAACAACTTAAGCAGCGATGATTCTGGTAATGACTTTTCTCCATACGAGTCTGAATATAATCCAGAAAGCTCTGAGTATAACAAATGCAGTTCTTCAGATGATGATATAGTTTCAAAAAAGTATAAAAGTCAATTATATGGTATGGAAGGGCACCCTACTGAAACTGATAAGCCAAGAAGGAAGCGAAAACAATCTTTTATGTATTCAAGAAATATAAGAAAAAAAAAATAGATTAGAAGGAAAAGAATATGTGTCAACAAAAGGAATTATAGTCCCTGCAGCTGAAGTAAAGCCTACATGCAAACAAACTTACAGGTTTAAATGCTTTAAAATACCTGAAGCTGAGAGGCAAAAAATTTTTAACGCTTATTATGAACTTAAAGATTATACGCGACAACGCGATTTTTTAAACGCAAATATTGATAAACATTCAAAAAAGTTTAGGACAACACAAGACGAGTCTAGAAGAACTTTTTCGATGATCTACTTTTTACCGATTGCTGGAAATAAAGTTAAGGTGTGTAAGACCATGTTCCTTAACACTCTGGGAATAAAAAAAGGTGTTGTAGATATAGCAATGAAAAAGCGTTCTGAACAAAACCTTGCAAATATTGACGGCAGAGGTAAAGGAAAAGGCAAAACTTTGGATCTAACTATGGTGGAAAATATCAAAAACCATATTAAGCGTTTTCCATGCGTTCCTTCTCACTACGTAAGAATGGATACATCCAGAAAATACTTAGATTCTACCTTAAATTTGGCAACTATGTACAGAATGTACAAATTTTGGTGTGAAGAAAATAATACACCTTCAGCAAAATTATCGGCGTATCGAAATATTTTTAAAGACAACTTTAATTTGGGATTTCATAAGCCAAAAAAAGATCGATGCCGCGTTTGTGTTGCATATGAAGAAGAAAAAAATCTAACAGAGAAAATGAGAGATGATCAAAAATTACATTTGAAAAATAAAGAAAATGCCAGAAGGGCCAAGACGCAAGATAAAGAAAACGCAATTGAAAACAAAACAATGGTAAGCTGTAATTTTGACTTGCAGCAAGTTTTACTCGCACCTAGTGACCCAAAAAATAATGCTCTGTTTTATAAAAGACGCTTATCTACATACAATTTTACAATCTACAATGTAGCAAACCGTCAGGGTGATTGTTTTATGTGGCATGAGGGTCAAGGAGCTAGGAGCAGTTGCGAAATAGCCAGCCTTATTTATAAGTACTTTTTGTCTCTATCCTCTTCCATTAATGAAGTGAGATGTTTTAGTGACCGCTGTGGTGGACAAAACTTGAACAAGTTTGTCGTTGCTATGTGCATGTATGCTGTGCAACACATTGAAAATATTAATAAAATGGAACTTAAATTTTTGACATCCGGTCACAGTGAAATGGAATGTGACTCAATGCATTCCACAATTCAAACAGAATTTAAACGAGTAGGAAAGGCTTTGTGGCCAGGTGATTGGAAGATGATAGCTAGATGTGCTCGCAAAACAGGAGATAAACCTTATATTGTGCATGATGTTGAAACAAAAGATTTTTTTGATTGGAAAGCCTTTGTTAACAGTCATCTTACAATGAGAACCACTGACACTGAAAAGAATCCTGTTTTATTCCAAAAGATTTGCTGGTTTCAATTTAGAAAGGAAAAACCTTATCAGTTTGAATTTAAAGAATCTTTTGAAGAAACCGACTTTAGATTAGTAGATTGTCAAAAAAGAACTTTACGTAGACATGTAATAGAATTAGATCCATGTTATCCTCAAGGTCATCCAATTTCTGAAATGAAGTATAATGACTTAATTTCTTTGTTTTCTCTTAAGCCACCCGCTTTACCTCAAGAATTTTATAATTTTTATTTCCACCTACCTCATGGTGGCACGACTGATGAAGATGAATAAAAATTTTAATATTTTCTGTTACACCTGAGAACACCATTAAAGAAAAATAATATTTTTTTTTTATTAATGTCTTTAAATCCGAATACATTAAGTTTTTTTAGTTAGCTCTGTAAATTTTTTATTTGAATAAATATACAATATTTGTGTAAGAAGTAGGTATCTTTTATTTTTTTGCAAAAAACCATTAAAAAAAATTTAAAGTGTAATGATTGCCTAGATATTTTGGCACATACCAATTTACCAATATACCAACTGTTTGCTTCCATTCCTAAAAATATTAAAAATTGAGTTGCCTAGTACTTACATTCAGGCGGCGATATGTTTGTTGTAGATATGAATATTAATGTCGACATTTGGTGCACGTGTAACAGCCATCACTTTTGTTTTATTTATTTTTATATTTTGTGTTTATTTTTATATATAATATGTTGTTGAGTTCGTAGACTTAAATATTGTTGCAGACGTTTCGTTTATATCACTTTCAGTGTGTATTTTGAGTGACTATTTTGAGTGTACGTGGAACTCGCTTATTACGGCCTCGGTAGTTACGTCATCTCGGTTATAACGTCAATTTTTAATAGATCCGGTCAAAAACTATTCCATAACGTTATTAAAAACCCGGTTTTATCGGCTAAAAATAAACTAACTCTCAGTTATAGCGTCATAAAATTTTATAGTAGGTTATCCTTTTTTATTTTATGAAGAATATAAAGTGCAATGCGTTTCTGGATTTGCGGCATTTGTTCCTTCCAAGAATGTAAGAGAGGTCCATTATCCCTTCTGTGTACAGTTATGTTACCCTGACAATCTATAATTTCGCATTTATCAGTGCCGTCCTAACACTCCTAACAGTCAAATTTTCTGTTTCGGAACAGTCGGCTTAAGAAATTTTCGCTACCGTGAAATTGTGTTCGGATCGTTTTGTTTTTTTTTTTTTATTTTAATTTGGTAATTAGCTTTTATTTTTTAATATGGCAAGTTGTAGCACTATAAGGAAGGTTTTGCCTATTAAAGAAAAAGTGCGTGTTATAACAGCATTTGAAAGTGGTCGAAAAATTGCTGATGTATGCCGGCAATTTGGACTTGTTAATTCGACTGTCGACTCAATCATAAAAAACAAGGACAAAATTTTAAAAGCCTTTAAAGAGGACGGAAACAATGTTAAAAAGATTAGGAAGTGCATTCGTGGTGATGTAGATTCAGCTCTACTCAAATGGTTCAAGCAGTGTCGCAGTTCTGATATTCCTGTGTCCGGGCCACTTTTAAAGCAGAAAGCTACAGAGTTCGGAAAATTGTTTGGTGAAGATTTCACATGCTCTAACGGCTGGTTAGATCGGTTTAAAGCCAGGCACTCAATTTCCTTCTCGAAAATTGTTGGAGACGCAAAATGTGTGGACGAGAACGTAACAAGTGACTGGTTACAAAACACATGGCCACAACAAAGGCAACCATATAAAGATGAAGATATCTTTAATGGTGACGAGACAGGTGACAAGACAACAGCAAAAACCTGTGCTGATTATAGAACCATCAGTTTGTTAAACCACTTATTGAAAATTTTTCTGAAGGTAATACATGATCGTATCTACAATAAATGTGAGGAATACCTGGATGACACTCAGTTTGGTTTCCGTAACGGATTTGGAACGAGAGAGGCACTGTTTGGAATAAACGTACTTGCTCAAAGATGTCGTGATATATCTGTAGACATATACTGTTGTTTTATTGACTTTCAAAAGGCATTTGATCGTGTTAAGTACTCTATATTGATCGAAGCTATAAAAGACATTGGCTTGGACGGCAGAGATGTTCGAATAATTGCAAATTTATATTAGAATCAAACAACATCAGTTTTAGTAGATGGTGTGAAATCACAAGCTCTCAATATTAAAAGAGGAGTACGGCAGGGATGCCTCTTGTCACCCCTGCTTTTTGACGTTTACTCCGAAAGAATTTTCAGAAAAGCACTTTCTGAAAAACAAGAAGGAATACTTGTGAACGGCGAAGTCATCAATAATTTGCGATATGCGGACGATACAGTACTCCTAGCTTCTAGTCAAGAAGATCTGCAAACACTACTTGATAGTGTCGTTGAGAGTTGCAGGGAGGCAGGTCTGGATCTTAACATAAAGAAAACCAAAATACTTGTAATAAGTAAACAACAGAATATAAAACCGTCTATATATGTAAACAATACCAAACTTGAGCAAGTTGATAAAATCGTCTACCTTGGACAGCAATTAAATTGTAATGCAGAAAATCACGGCGAAATTAGATCCAGAATAGAGCAGGCTAGAGCTGCTTTTAGAAGGATGTCCAAGGTGTTATGTAACAGAGACCTAAAATTGGCATTAAGGATCCGCCTACTTCGCTGCTACGTGTTCTCGGTCTTACTTTATGCTGTCGAGTCCTGGACTGTGAATAAAATCGATCTAAATCGCCTTGAGGCTTTCGAAATGTGGTGCTATAGAAGAATTTTAAAAGTTTCCTGAGTGGAGAAGATTCGTAACTCCACAATACTTGAACGTCTCAGCAAGACCACTGAGATCATAAAAAGCATCAAGCAGAGAAAGCTGGAATATTTCGGACATGTAATGAGAGGTCCCAAATATAGATTGCTACAAAATATCATGCAAGGAAAAATAGCAGGCAAACGCAGTCCAGGACGAAGAAGAACCTCATGGTTGAAGAACTTGCGAGATTGGTATGGTGTAGATACAAGCATGCTATTTAGGGTGGCAGTGAATAAAATTAAAATAGCTATGATGGTAACCAACGTTCTGAAAGGACATGGTACATGAAGAAGAAGAAGACAGGTGTCTTTTATAAATTAACGCCAGACAAAACTTTAAATTTCAAAAATCAAAAATGTGTCGGTGGAAAACTTTCCAAGCAAAGAGTGACGTCTTTTGTTTGTGCAAATATGACAGGTACAGAGAAAAGAAAGCTTTTGGTTATTGGGAAAAGTTTACATCCTAGATGTTTCAAAAACATTAAAACACTACTTGTAAACTACACAGCCAATAAAAAAGCATGGATGACTTCTGCTATTTTTGAAGAAGAATTGAGAAAGTGGGACAAGGAACTTTCTTTCAAAAAAAGAAAAATTCTTCTCCTAGTTGACAACTGTGCAGCCCATCCCAAACTTAATTTGACCAATATAAATCTAGTGTTCTTACCAGCCAACTGCACGAGTGTCTTGCAGCCTATGGACCAGGGAGTCATAAGAAGTTTAAAGTGCCATTATCGAAAACAGCTTTTAAAAAGAATGATTTTTTGTATGGATAATGGAGAACCTGTGAACATTACCATCCTGGATGCTGTTCAGTTTTTTGACAATGCGTGGAGTGCGGTTACGTCAGTGACAATTCATAAGTGTTTTCGTCAAGCAAAATTGACTGTAGCTTCTCTCAATGTTGAGGACGTTGATAAAGATGACGGAATGGCTTTGTCAGAGTGGATACAAAAATTTAATGTGAATCAGGGAGCGTTCGGAACTGATCTTGACTCCTACATTTCAGTAGACGATGAGGTGGAAACATTTCAAGTCCTAAGTGATAAAGAAATTGTCGAACTGGTGCAAAACGTGGAAATGGATGTCGATGAAGCTGAAGAAGAAGAAGACATCGTTGCTTGTCCTACAATCCGAGAAGCAATGAGAGCTGCTGAGACCATATCCAGGTTTTACCAGTTCAGGGAGGCATCCACAAATACCAAAGAAGCAGCTCAGCTTATTAAGGAAACAACAGAAAAACTTTATTTTTCGGAAAGGGTTGTGCAAAAGAAAATAACGGACTTTTTTCAGCAATAGAACTTTTTTACACAATGTAAGTTTCATATACATACATAATATGTTTTGTTTTTTAATTGTTTTTTATCCTAAAATGATTGTTGTTTTTTTTTTTAAATTTGACTTAAGTAAATGTTATATTTTCGGTATATCGTAAACTATGTTAAATTATCATGTTTAGGCCCAGAGTAATTAACAAATAATATATCTACTATACCCAATAATGCTGTAATAATATTTTCCCTCATTAGAATTTTATTTTTCTCAACCTCTTTTTTAACGTCACTCTGATATAGCGTCATTTTTTATTGGACCCTTCAATGACGCTATAACCAAGTTCCACTGTATACATATATATATATATATATATATATATATATATATATATATATATATATATATAGGTATATATATATATATATATATATATATATATATATATATATATATATGCCGCTACTAAGGTAAAAATTTCTGTAGTTATTTTTATATAAAATGTAATTGTTTTGAAACAAAACATTTGTTCACTCACATTAGTTTATCATGTAATACCATTAGCGCATCCATTAAATAATTTACTTACTTAATTATACAAATAACGAACACTAATCAAAACATTTTATTGTGATAAAATTATTAAAATGGTTTAAGTATACATCGAAGTACATCTTAAAATAAAATATACTCTTTAGATTCTTATTATCTAATAAGATAGAATATATATGATCTAATAAAATGCATGTTATGTGGAAAAAAATATTAATTACCTACGTTTTAGCCATTAGGCCGTTAGCAATGTACAATATTATGCCCAAAACCGATTTAGTGGAAAAAGAAATAAACAAGTTTTATACAAAGCTAGCAAAATGCGACTTACTTGAAATTCCGACGTGCAGATTTAGCCGTCGGAGGCCTCCAAATGTAAGAAGAGGTACGGACTGGTACATCTCCAAAAATAAATGTATGGTTTTTCAATACAAAAACGTAAGTGTTTACCACAAGAGGTTTCGGGTGCGAAGGATTTTTATGCTTGTGTCAGGTGTTGCAGAGGTATACCATAAAGCAGATAAGCTAGCAGTGAGCCCTATCTACAAACCAGAAATAGGAATTGCGTTCATTATCTGCACAAAACTTAATAATACCCACTTTTTAGACAACTTACTTCGTTATATTTGGTCCAAGAACATATCGAGATATATAATAGTCTTTGTTACAAATAAACTACAAATATATACTTACAACCCATTCATACCAAAGACAAACGTAAAAATAACCACATTTGGGAAACACTGTGAAAACTTATTTGACGATAAAGCTAAAAATCTGCATGGGAATCCAATACGAGCACTACTTTTTCTCAGAGTGCCATACGCATACCAAATTGGTCAAGAATGGTATGGTGAAGATATAGAAATTTTGCAATTAATTACTAAAAAACTGAATGGCTCGATCGACTGGAAATCTGTAAGCACCTCTGAATTAATATACTCGTATTCGGAACATCTGTACCTTAATGAAGTGGATGTTATTATGGTACGAGTTTTTATGGTAAGAATAATAAAGTCAATTTTAGCATTATCATGATACTACGAATAATTATAGAAGATTGACAAATTTATTCAACCAATAGATCATATAGTATATAAAGATCAGAACGCTACAGTTTTTTTCTTTTATCTTCTTATTAGACAATTGTTCAACAACATGTTCCTGTTTTCTTGGATTTTTCTTTGGTCGGTTCACATTTCTGCCCGACGGCGATTTGTTTCTTGACAAATATTGCGTCTTGATCTATCTTCCACTTTGAAAACCTTGTTGTTCGTCCTCAAATGACATTCTCTCGTTTATTAATTTCATCATCATCATCATTGGCTTTTACAACTCTTCTTGAGTTTTTGCCGCGTTTACTATTGCCTTTCATTGATTCCGATCCTGTGCTATTATTTCCCATGGCCCTTACTTCTATATTCTCCAGGTTTTCCCTGACTGCGTCTTTCCACCTTTTTCTAGGCCTTCCTGTCGATCTTCTACCATCTGGTCTTTCCCAAAACACATTGCTAATCAGTCTGTCGTCATCACTCCGTACCACGTGGCCTGCCCATCTTAATCTATTGGCTTTTATGTATCTTACGATGTTTCCTTTCCCAAAGAGAATCTCTATTTCATTGTTATATCTGCTCCTCCATTCATTTGTCACGCTGTCCCTGCAAGGACCATATATAATTCGCAGGATTTTGCGTTCCCATACTAATAGCTTATTGATTTCTTTCTTTCTCAATGTCCATGTTTCACTTCCATATGTCACTGCTGGTCGTACATTTGGATTTTGGCACACTTTGAGAGAAGCTTTGATCTCATTAGATGTTTAATGGCAAAGAATGATTTATTCCCCGCCAGTATTCGTATTTCAACCTCCCGTTCTCCTGTGTTTTCACTGGTAATCGTTGCTCCTAGGTATTTGAATTCTTTGACCACCTCAAAATTATGATCGTTTATGGTAATGTTTTGTCTTATTCGCTGTAGTTCCTTTTTTGATACGACCATGTATTTAGTTTTTTCTTCGTTTATTTTCAGGCCTACGCTTAGTGGTGCTTCTTCAAAGTTCGATACTATATCCTTAACTTCCAGTGTTGTCTGTGCTACTGCATCTACATCATCTGCAAATGCGAGAATAATCTTTGCTCCTCTGGCAGTTATGTATGGTTTGATTTTGGTATAGATTTTTCGCATTGCGTATTCCAATGCTAGGTTAAATAGTAATGGGGACAGCGGGTCTCCCTGTCTGAGCCCGGTGCTTATGCCGAAAGCCTTTGAAGTTTTGCCTCCTATTCTAATTTGTGCAAAGGAATTGTTGACACACATTCGCGCAATCATGGTCAGCTTCTTTGGTACGCCTAACTTCATCATTGCACTCCACAGTTTTAAGCGATCTATGGAATCATATGCTTGTTTGAAATCTATGAAGATCTGGTGTACTTCTTTATTATATTCCCAATACTTTTCTAGCATTTGTCTGATAGTAAATATTTGGTCGATTGTTGATCTTCCAGGCCTAAAGCCGCATTGGTAATCGCCAATAATTTCCTCTGTATATGGCAGTAATCGTTTTAGTACAACTGAAGCTAATATCTTATATGTAGTACCGATTAGTGAGATTCCTCTGTAGTTGCCACATGTATCCTTTCTCCCTTTTTTATGTATTGGCACGATAATACAGCCACTCCATTCTTTTGGCATTATTTCTTGTTCCCAGGCTTCTTTCATTAATTGCTGTATTTTAGTTCTAAGTTCATGCCCTCCTTTTTTAATCAGTTATGTATCAATATTGTCTAGTCCCGGGGATTTGTCATTTTTTAGGGTTTCTATCGCGGTGATAATTTCTTCCAGGCTTGGCGGGGGTACTTCTATCTCGGCCGTTTGGTACTCACAATTTGCTTTATTTCCATCCGCGTCTACCTGGACATTTAGAAGACTTTCAAAGTATTCAGCCCATCTTTCGATTATTTTATTTTCAGCTCTAATCATTTGCACATTTTTATCTCTCACAAAGTTCGGTGTTCTTATATATGCACCTTTCTTATGTTGTCTTACTTCTTTGTAGAATTTTTTATTTTGCTTGCTTCTGTGTTCACGTTCTACTTTTTTAATTTGTTGTTGTAAATGTTGTATCTTTTTTCTTCTTACTGTTCTTCTGGCTAAGGCTTAAGGTTTATTAATTTGGTTAATATTTTTGTGGTTAGTTTTAGCGTAGTTTTTATTAGATTGTTTCGTCTATACTTTTCCGGTTCTTTTTTAAACATCAGGATTAGTACGCTTTTAAGATATATGCCAGAAACTTGGTGGTATAAAATTGCTACGTTTCACCAAATGTCTCGCTTCGAATATATGAAGAGTACATTGCAAAGGATCGTCATGGAATCCACGAGGGCAAGACGGGAGAGAGAAATATCTATCAGCATAGATCCAAAACGTGGGTTTACCGTACTATGTTCGTAGGAGGTTTCAACGTCATTTCTAACTAGGGTCGTACGTTTGACTATTTTGAAAGAAGAATAATTGCTCGGCTTACACAAATCTGTGAGTTTACTTACAACAGTAAGCGAGCAATAAGGAAGTAAGCCAACACAAGTATATACAGTGTGTAAAAGCCAAATGGAATAAATTCATTATTTAGGTTACTGTACATATTTATAAAAAATCCCGAAACACATCAAATTTAAATTACAACTTGACATTATTTAACGTGAAAATGCAACCCCCACCTTCAACCCCCCTAGAAGGACAGGTAGAACCCCCAATTTTTAAAATAGGAAGTATAGGCTTGTGATATATCGTTTGAAAGGTCTTTTCATTCTCCATTCAAAAATGTTGTCGCTTTTAAGTTTATTAAGAATAATTAAGAGAAAATGAATTAAAATCATGTGGTTACCGAAATTCTCTAAAATATACTCAAAACTTATTTCCCGTTTAGGTCTTGATAATGAGAAAGTAAACAAAAAGAATAGCAATGTGGTTTTTAGATGGTAACCATTAAAAAACTTTTTCTACTCTCTTACTAGTAAATTGTATATTACCTACTATTTGGATGCTAAGTAAATGCATCATAACAGATACTGACACGTAATGACTAGCACGTAATAAAAAAATTACGCTTCAGTTTTATAAAAATGTGTAATATCACATAAGCCTTGTAAGTCAGTTGGTCGAGTTACCATGAAAACGAATTAACAGACGTTATTTTGACAGATTAAAAATTATTAATCTGTCAGTGTAAATATAGTGGTAATTTAATTTTTATTTTTATAAACGAAAATAATGGTAGAAAAAGTATAGTACACAACTTGAGTTGTAAGCTTATTACATGCTTGTAACATTACTGCGCTCGCCGCTACGCGGCTCGCGCGCAACTTTTTTACTCGCATGTAATAAGCTTCTTACAACTCTCGTTATGTAATATACTATTAAAGAATTTCCGTGGCAACGTTCTTTGAACACGCATTAGTAAATTGTTTTATTTAAGTTGTCAGTATTTTAATTTAAGTAAAAAGTTCGTTCAATTCAATTCTGAAAAATGGTTAGATTAACGGAAATGCATAAAATAACAGTTTTACAAATGATTGGTTACGGAAATAACACCCGAACACAACAGGAAGTAACTCGCCTATTTCATAAGAAATTTCCTAATTATACCGCCTATATTCCAAGGAACAATAAGTAAAATAGAGAAGCAGTTTCGCGAGTTTGGTCATGTAAGGCAGATAAAAAAAAAGCTTCCAATGCACTGAGTGATGAACTCAAATTAGATGTGTTGCTTGAGTTTCAGAAAAATCCACATACATCGAGTAGACAGGCATCCACTATATTCAATGCTAGCCATACATCGATAGTAAACATATTAAAAGAAAATAAATTGCATCCCTATAAGATTATACTCACTCAGGAACTCATGGAAGACGATTTTGATAGGAGAACTTTTTTGTTGTGAGCAAATGATGGACATGTTGAATAACAATATTATCCAAATAGAAGACCTTATGTTTTCTGATGAGTGTACTTTTTCACTTAACGGTCATGCTAATCGGCAAAATTGCCATCACTGGGCCAAAAATCCTCACTGGATGAGAGGAGAACACACTCAATCCCCTCAAAAGGTTAATGTTTGGGCAGGGATTATAGGAAACAATATCATTGGTCCCTTTTTCATTGAGGGCAACTTGAATGGCAACAATGATTTGGCACTACTTCAAAATAATGTCATTCCAACGTTGGCAAATTTATATCCTGATCCAGGAAACCCTCAAGTTCCAGCGAATACGATTTGGTTTCAATAGGATGGAGCACCACCACATTACCAAATTAATGTCCGGCAGTACCTCGATACAATATTTCCCAAACGGTGGATAGGGAGGCGAGGATCGAATGAATGGTCAGCGCGATCACCTGATCTTGCATTATTAGATTTCTTTTTATGGGGATATGTGAAG